GCTGTCCCACACACATTCAACACGAATCACACACTGAACTGAGCGACCTGTCTGAGCGGCATGCATACAGAAAGGAAGAGTAAGAACACAACCTGACCGAACCCACAACAACAACAACAGAATTTTAAGGCTATGCATAAAACAAAATGAAGCAACATCTTTAAAGCTAGGTAGCAAGTAGCATTTGTGAAACATAAGGCTTGAGGCTTATTGATTCTTCAGAACAGGTTTATTTGCTTTTCCTTCTTAAACACCAATGTACCATTTTTCTTCCTTCTCTTGAACAGGGATTTCACTTCCTCCTTGGCAGGGGCATTTAACTCAGGGAGGTTATGTTGGAGCGGCCTCCCGGGGGTGCGACAATGCGCTTGCTCGCTGAGCGAACACCTTCATCAACCTGAGTACCTGGGAGAGGACAAGAAAGCACAAAGAGACGGGAGAAAGCAAAGTTAAGAGCATTTTCTTCACAGGACTGAGCAGTCAGGCAGCCTGGGGTCTTGCTTCAGGGTCTCCCGAGGCTGTTACAGCACCCTGCTCCCCCTCCAACCCCAGTAACCACCCCGAGAGCAGCAGTGGCTTGAATGTCTCTGTAGATGCTCCTTCGTGAACAGACCCACGGCACAAGAGCAGGGTCTGGTGCTCCACTGCCACGTCCGTGGCCACAGTCCTCCTTGCCTCCACTGCAAGATGCAGTGGGGTGGAGGACCAGCTCCGGCCATGTCCTTTAAGGGACACACTGGGTCTCATCTTGCCATGCTCCACTCTGTGCTCAGCTTGCCCCAGGCCATTTCCCAGCTGCCCCCCACCCCAGGCCAGTGGCTGGGACAGGGTGGCCAGTGGTTCTGCGCTCTCCCAGCCCAGTCACCACGTGTTCACCTGACAGGCTGAATCCAGACTGATGGAGGTTCCTGACGGGGGGTGTCTGCCGTGTGGGGGACCCCCTGGTTGACCCCGCAGGGGTTCCCCCCTTAGGGGTGGTGGTCAGGTCAAACACGGGTCCATCATACATGCCCCGGGGCACAGCATGCATCTCTGCCATCTGTCACCAGAGAGAAAAGGACAGTGACACTTCTCTGCTCCCAGGAAGCATTCTGCCCTGTCAGCGTCCTTGGCTCCCCAGTTCCACCGCAGAGGCAATTCACACTGTCATCCCCATGCCCCTCCATCCTGCGTGCCCAAGACCTCCCTGCCACGTTCAGGCCTGGCACAGCCCCACCACCCACCTCCTGTGGGACAGCCTCCCCTCACTCCCACCCTGAAAAGCGTGCACAGCACGGTGCACAGGTTTATGCCGCATGGATGGGGAAGGAGAAGGCCATTTTGCCCAGTCTCCTTGTTTTTAACTCAGCACTTCCTTCCAGACTCCTGCTGCAGCAGGAGAGCAACAAGGGTTGGCATCACCCACTGTTGAGCCAGGCGAGCACCTGCCTCCAGTGGTGGCACACCATCAACAGTAATGGTAAAGCTCCCTACCCAAGCCCTAACTATCCCAACATACCAGTTTGCAGCAGGGTCCAGCAAGATCAGCAGAGGAAAAACAATCAGTTATTAGGGAAAAGGGCAATTTAGGCTAACAGTGTCCCAACTCTGTCTCCTGATATCCCCGTCTCCCCACCTTCCTCCTGGTTTTGATGCGCTTGTAGACATAATCAGGGAAAGGGCTGCTGGGCAGGAAGCGTCCAGTCCCCTGAGTCACATGCAGGTTGCCATCCTCCAGCGTGATCTTCCCCTGGCATATGACAACCAGCGGGGCCCCACGTAGCTCCATCCCTTCAAAGATGTTGTATTCAGCTGCCTGCAGCAAACAGGGGATGACGGTCAGTAGGGACATGAGCACTGCCTGCCCACACAGGGCTGTTTAGTCCCCACACCTCGCTGCTGAAGTCACCAGTGCAGGGAGAGGACACCTGCAACAGCCTTGCCTGCCCCAGAGGCCTTCTTTAGTTCACCAGTCCACCTTGCTAAGAACCCACCAGAGCTCCCAACATGAACCAGGACCTGCTGCTTTGGAGCTCGGTGTGAGCAAGGACTCCAGCAACAGAGGGGGGCAGGACCTAGGCTTGAGGTAAGGCATGAACAAAGCGAACTGGCAAAGCCTGTAAAAATTTGTACCTGGAAGAGGAATCCAGATAAGGAGAAATGTGTGTCCTTACACCTGCATGGGCCAGGCTCAGGAGAGCAACAGAGCAAGGTGAGAAAAGCCCTGTGCACAGAGCCCAGGGCTCACAGACATCCTACCCCACAGTCACAGCTGGCATCACCCGGAGTCTGGACTCAGTTCCTCCTCCTCAGAGCCCAGCACAGCAGCGCCAAGCTCCCAGCAGCCAGGAAGCCTTTATGCAGTGCTACTCACACCCCACCCTCCAGCATTCCCACTGAGGAGCACAGGGCTTACAGACTGATGGGTTTTTGCCGTGACGATCTTCACTGCATCAGGGTCCCATATAACCAGATCGCCGTCTGAGCCCACTGCTATTCTCCCTTTCCGTGGGTACAGGTTGAAGATTTTTGCAGCGTTAGTGCTCGTCACAGCCACAAACTGGTTTTCATCCATCTTTCCTGTGGCCTGCTCAGACACAAAGAGAACTAAGCGCTCTTTTGGGACAGTAAGAGCCCCAGGAAGCACCAGACTCACTCCCACACAAGCCACTGGCCGGCTAGGCCCAAATGGCTGCAGCTGATCTTACTATTGGCACCAGACAGACTGAAAACCGGTGGCACAGTCACAGCTCCCGACTGTCCACCCTGAACTCGCACAGCTGCCTCTCCTGCTCTGGTTTGTTTTGACTCTCAAAGCCAGAGGGGAGGCAGGCAGCTGGGCGCCCAGCTCTGCGGAGGCGAGAACACGGGCGCCTGTCGACCCTGCCCGCTCTGCCCTCTCCCTGTCATGACTTACCACTGCCTTGTCCCAGATGACAGACATTCGTTCCTCTATGCCGTTGGTCCCTTCTGGTATTGCCGTGAAGTTGTCTTTTCCAATTGCTTTCTGTGCAGTGCTGAATGTACAGTGGGCACTTCCCGAAACCTGCAGGTCACCACTGAGGGGTGGTGGTAACAAAAGCATCATCAGCCATTTTGCAGTCAGACAACAGCAGGGACACGAGGGACATGGATCTCCTCTGGGCACAGGCAGCCTCTGGCTCAACCCTGTTTTACTCTGCACCCCTGCTTCTACGGTCCCTCAGTCTGCAGACTTCCACCCGACCCAGCCCCTGCAGCAGCCACATCACCGGCAGGCATGGGGGCAAGAGCTCTGCCATGGCACACTGCCCACCTGGGGCATGGACAGCGTCCTGCACACAAGAGGAGTCAACAGCTCAGCTCCCTTGGAAGACACCCTGGGGAACAGGGCAGCCTTTCTGTCAAGCCAAAAGATGTCCTTCCACACCAGATTCCACTTGCACTAACACAAAGGGAAAAGACACCTCAGGTCTGCTTAGGAGAGCAGCCTTTCTGCCACACAGAGAGAAAGAGGTCTCTCCACCCAAGGACTGTCTCCCACAGCCAGCCCTTCCATTGTGTACTGCCAGCTCCTGCACCGCGAGGGGGAAGTGCAGCCCTCCCCTGCCCCATGGGGAGCCAGCTTCCTAATCTCCACTAGATTTGTCCTGGTGGAAGAAAACAAGCAATCTGGCTCAGCCAGAGCCTCACAGCCTCTCCTCCTGCTG